AAATTTATGTTTAAGAATTGTGTATTTTTGCTATAAAATTTCAATAATTATTGGAGATTAAACTATTGTTATTTATTAGAGATTAGACTATTAATTCAGCTGAAATTATGAGTGTTTAAGGATTGGTTAAGTTCGGTTGTAGGTTGTTTCACCAATCAAATCAACATGGTTAGGTTGAGAGTTTGTCACCCGAAACTGATTGATCATTAGTGAAAACCCACCATTGTTCAAAAGATTTAAACTTAAAAATTAAAATTAAATTTAATAATTATGATGGTATTATTAAAAAATAAATTAAAATATAAAACAATTATATACTCCTATATATTCCTATTATTTAACTTTCTCTTAACAAAGCCCATGCATCGCACGGGTCCCAACTAGTTAAATATAAAGAAGTATAGTTTATGGGGAATAGAACTCTTGACACTCCTTTAATATGGGTAAAAGTGTAAAGAGTTTTATTATAATGACCACTTTGATTCTTCCTCTTGCCATAAACTTGGAGTTGAATTCCTATCACTCCATGGAAGGAGGAGAAGGCCGGAAGATAGCTAAATAATCTCTTGTAAAATTTTGCGCAAGATTCAATAACTAGAAACAACCCAATAAGGTTGTCTACTAGATTATTACAAATAAGTGTTTTCTTATAAGCTTGTATTGTTGGGCATTAATGGGCCAATTGCAACTTATTTCAGTGGTTTGCAATCTCTTCCTTCCCCCATTAAATATCCCTTCCTATTGTCATTTTTTTTTTTTTTCTTTTGAAGGGCACACAACGGGGTAGCCCATCCCCCAACCTGGTGCAGGCGGGATTAGACCCCAAGTCTCTACTACCACTAGCAAGACATCTTACTAACCAGTTGTTGTCATTTTTTTTTTTGTAAAATGTTATATAAGGACTTAAACTTAGGTTTATTCGTCCCTTCCTATTGTCTTAAATCTCTTTAAATCCCTCGTAATCATCTATAGGGTAAATTACAAAGACTCTCCTGAACTTCAGCCATTAGACAAAAACCCCCTCCGTTAGTGTTCCGTCAGTTATCTTCAAAAAATATTTTTATTTAACTATTTTATTTTTTTAAATCTCCAAATTATCTTTTTGTCATTTATTTGAATGGTGAGAAAGATATCTCCGACCAAACTGCCGCCATGGATACCCATCACCACACTAAAGCCGTAAAACGTAAACGGGAAAAGAAAGAACCATTAGGAACCCGGTTCACAAACGTATTGAGAATCTAAAGAGAGGACAACATGTATCCCGTAGGATCCAAGAAGTGACTCTGCACTGATGCCTTTGACGAAATCAAAAATAATCATGCGCTCCTTGAAATTCTGCAACAAAAAATTTAGAAGTTAGTATTCACTACTACAGTACTACCGATATTGGACTTCTGGGCTTAAACTTATCATGAGTTGGCTTCCAGTTATGCTCTTGCCGCCCTTCAATAGTTCTGAAAAACACTAACTAGTAAATTTCAAAGATGCAAATGACCAGAAATCAACCAAAACACAGAAGCCACACGCATAATCTAAACTAGTAATACAAACATTTGGTAAATTCCTTTGTCAATACAACTCAAAATTATGCCCAAGAAACACGCATGCACATTGAGTTTATATCTTGGATGAATTTTTCCAAGTTGCAAGAAGAGGAACCTTCTTCGCTGACATTCCATTACAACAAAAATGGCATGGTTTCCCCTGAAATTCCATTGCAACTTCTTCACTCGAATGACCTTCTTCTTATCGATACAAATTGATAGCACCAGATGCTTCAACCCCTCTTCTTCGCTACATCTGATCAAAATGTCGTGAGACATCTCACTGTGGCAGAATTGCTCTTTGGTCGAATGCAGTGGGTTGCCTGAAAAATGTTCTATTTGTGATACTAGAGAGAATTGGGCAGCTGACAGAATACCCAATTTGAACTTATTGTTGATACAAGTGATTGGGTCGAAGGGATCAATGATACTAGAGGACGACAACCCTGCGTTGAAATACCTCTGCAAGAAGAGTCGTTCACTTTTATGGTGTATTTGCTGAAACAAGGAGCTATCTCTCATTACAGACAAGCACCCAAATGACGAAAATGAGAATTTGGAGATGGATTCTTCTTATACAAAAAGAACAATACCAGAGAAAGAGAGAGAAAGTATTGCTTCCTGTGCTACGGTGCTAGAGAATATGGAGAGATTGAAGATACATCATGGATTATCAAGTCTTAAAGTTAGATTTTTTTTCCTTTTCCGGTGATGATCAAAGGTGTTTTGGGTAATTAGGTTTTAAGAAAAAAGGGCAAAAAAGAAAATAGAAAAAGTTTAGTGAGGTATTTTGATAATTTAACACCTTCTGTCATCTGACTTAACGGCTAATAGGTATTTGTCACAAAGTAAAAGTTTTGGGGAGTCTTTGTTACAAATTAAAGTATAGGGGGTCTTTGTCACTGACCCCATAGTACAAGGGGGTCTTTATAATTTATCCAAAATTATATAATTTGAACGGATTGGGTCAACTTAACCCAACCCTATAACATGGATATCTGATCCAAATATATAACAAGCCCAAAGCCCAAGTTCGATAATCCAAAACCCATTATAGCTAAACCAAACGTACGTAGATTGGGATGGGCTTAGGTGGATTTAGTTGGGCTTTAGCAAGTAGTTCAAGTTTGGAAGTACTCTCAATTTCTGACTCGTCTTGCTCACCCAAACTTATGGGTATGACTAGTTCAGCCTAGTTAGTCACCACCTTACCTTCACTATCTTGAATGTTGGAGTGCTCTTACACAGTTACACGGGGAACCACCTCTGACTTTTGTGTGCACAAGTCATCAAACCAGCTCAATTAGTCCCTTTCAACAACAAATTCATTTGCTTCTCGTCCACCTCAGCTTGAACAACATCACCATCATTTATTTTACTTAATCTCATTATTACTTAAACATCATAAAACATCAAAAACCTTTATACATATATATTCAAAATCACTTGCCAAATTTCTACTCAACCCCATGCAATAATGCATTGAATGGGTTCACCTGCTGGGTAAGAGAGATTTGATGAAATACATAACAATTTAATTCCTACTATGAATTTTCCAACATGTAATCAGTGATATAATCAAGCATCCTCTTTATAATAATGCTAGTGCTTTAACAAATTGAGTAGTAGAACTAGAGTATATTGCATTAATTCAGTACTAAGTACAAACTGTTTACACCTCTTTTTTCTTTCTTTTTGTGATTGGATTCCTCCTAAATGTAGATTATAGAACAATAAAATATAAAGACCCCACGAGTTTAATCGTTGTCATCATCATCATCCAAGCCTTATCCCAACTATATGGGTCGACTACATGAATCATGTTTTGTTATCTTATTCTATTTAATGCCATATCTATCGTTAAATCATGGGTACTTAAAGTCATTCTTAACTAGTTTAGCCCAGGTCCTCTTTTGCCTACCCCTATCCCTTCTAGCCCCTTCAACTTTCTATTTACAGGTGATGTTGCCAGTATTCTATGTACATGACTAAACCGTCTTAGCCTATTTCTTATTTTATCACCTATGGGAACTACTTTTTAAGTACCTTTGAATAACTTCATTTTTTTACTATATCTTTTGTAATTTTTCTACTCATCCATCTTAGCATATACAGTTTTAGAACACATTATTTTGGAAATTGCCCAACATTTTTCTTTGCACAATATAGCTGACCTAACAATTGTTAAAATTTTCACTGTAATATAGGTGGTATTCACTTATCACACAAGACTTAGAATGCACCCTTCCATTTTGTCCATCATGCCCTAATTCTATGGGTAACACCCCTCCTTAATTTTTCCATTGTTATGAATTTACAATCTAACCAACGTATCAAAAATAAATAAATAAATAAATAAATAAAGCCACATTGCATTGTCTCCTAATCTCTAAACCTAAGTGTATCATCATTCGCACTCCTATTATCATTAAGTTTTACATATCATGTATTCTATTTTTGTCCTACTAAACCTCTTATTTTCAAAGTAGTTGTCCATAAACTTACTTAATTTTGCAATTTATATATCATTGTTAGTTTCATCAATAAAGGCAATACCACTAGCCATAATTCACAAGAACATTCTGTAGTCTTAGTAAGAGGAGGAAGGGTTAAGGATTTACCCGGTGTGAGATATCACATCGTTAACCTCTTTTTGAATATGTATAGTCAACTCATCTATGAACAATACAAATAAATAAGAGTCAAGTGTTGAACCTTCTCGAAAATCCATCATAACTATAAATTTTGATGTATTTCCTACATATGTTCTATCATTGGTTATACACCCCTATACATATCCTTAATTAGGTCTAAATTAACTAAAATCATTTAAAAAACCGATAACTAATAACTCTTGCAAAAAAAAAAAAAATCTTGTTCTATATCTTAGAAAAAAACATGTTATTTAAATTATCTCTCCAACTAAATTGAGTTTGAAAACTAAGCTAAGTTTTTTTTTTTTTTTTTTTTTTTTTTTTTTACAGTTGCTTAAAATGATGAATTTGTCATCATGAATGGATTTACCAAAGACTTGGCAATTGTAATAAATTATCCTTATTTTTTTTGGTGAAGAATTAATAAACTATCAAGTATCAATGGTCCTTTTGTTTAATTATCAATATTTTTCATTACCCAAAAAATGTTTTCAAATGGCAAATGTAACATAATTAATTGATTTATGGAAGTAGTTTTTTACATTAATTCAAATAACATTTTTTTTTAAATTATGTCTCGTGTTAATATAAAGCAAGCAAATAATAAGTTATTCATGATTTCACTCACTGAGTCCAGTTGGGAAGGGTGCAAATATCCAAGACCTTATGTAATATATACAATGTTTATAAACCTTATATTTCTGTACACATTGGCATTTATTTGCACTCTTCCCAATTTATATTTGTACTCCTTCCAAAATCCAAACTACGAGCACCTATTACCTTTGTTAACACGATACGCTGTAAAACTCGAGCCCGGATCTCCTGCAAGTAAAAGCCTGTGTACATAGCATCAGCCGTACATTTAGAATATCTCATGTACATGTACGTGAAATTCATGGGAAGAAGTTCTGAATGTGCGGCTGGATTCCCATGGTTCAGAGTCTGTGCAGAGTTTTTACTTGCTGGGAGCACCAGGCGCGTTCTACTCTTTCGTCGTGGTTTTGTGCCTCCCGGATCCCGCATGCCTGTTGTTGCCTTGTCCATCGACTAGTTTCAGAAGAGAAGATTGATTGGCTCCCATGAAACTTGACATCTTTATTCTGATCAATGCGTAGCCCGCCACCGAGTTTTCGTGGGCTCTCCTTATCCTTTCCTCCGGTATCAAATCATTCTTTTCGGTTCCTGAAAGGACCTCCCAGAATAATAACACCACTGTTTGATTCCATTCGACCTTGTTCGGTATCTTGTGCTGTCGGGATAGCTGATACAGACCCAACTAGCTATGTATCTTGTGAGGGTATTGGAGTTCGAACTCTTCCAACTCCCACTTGCTCGGTACTATCTCTGCATCTTCAGCTTGATGAAGAGACTCAAAACGGACCCAGAGGATTACGGGCTCCTACTCGACATGGTAAGATGACATCTAAAGTTCCTAAAATAGTTGAAACAGACTTGCCAATCGAACAGGGGAGGATGCTGTACAGGCTGGGTATGGGAGGAGTTGCAAATTCGGATTGTAAGGCGACGTTAAAGAGGTACTCCAAGCTGCTGAACGCTTGCGCTTCAAGTTGTTCTTTGAATGATGGAAAAGTGGTTCATGGGCAAGTAGTCAAGAATTGTTTGTACCCTGATTCCCATTTGTTGAATTCATTGGTAAATATGTACGTGAAATGTGGGGGCCTTCGATGTGGCCGTTCGGTGCTCGAGAGAATGCCCGAGCGAGACGTTGTTTCTTGGACTACACTGATTTCGGGATTTGTTGCAGAAGGGGACGGCAGTGAGGCTATTCGTTTGTTCTCAAAGATGCGGCAAGAAGGCATTTGGCCAAATGGTTTTACCTTCTGTTCAGTTTTGAAAGCTTGTTCAATTTTGTTGGCATTGGATTCCGGAAGGCAGGTGCATGGAGAAGTTATTAAAGTTGGAACCTTTTCAGACTTATTTGTTGGGTCTGCTCTTTCTGACCTTTATGCAAAGTGTGGAGAGATGGAACTTGCAGAAAGGGTGTTCTTCTCCATGCCCGAGAAGAATGATGTAGCATGGAATGTGTTTCTTAATGGACATGCACAGATGGGCGGTGAGAAAGAGGTCCTGAAACTGTTTCATAGAATGACAGAGTCTGAAGTGAGACTCAGCAGTTTTACTTTATCCAATGTCCTTAAGGCTTGTGGGAACTCAGGAAATGCAAAGGATGGCCAAGCAGTTCATTCTCTAGCAATTAAAATTGGCTCCGAAGTCGTTTACTGTCTGAATAGTAGTCTAGTTAATATGTACTTCAAGTGTGGACTGGTAAACGATGCTTACAAGGTCTTTATTAGTATTCGGGATCCTGATGTAGTGGCATGGAGTGAAATGATTGATCATCTCAATCAGCAGGGGTTTTACTCTGAAGCAGTAGAGCTGTTTGCTGAGATGATGCAAACAGGCCTGAGGCCAAATCAATATACACTCGCTAGTCTCATTAGTGCTGCCATTAATATTGGTAATACACGATATGGTGACAGCATCCATGCTTGTGTTTGGAAATTAGGATATGTATCAGATAATCCAATTGGAAATGCTTTAATCACAATGTATATGAGAAATGGGTATATTCAAGATGGCTTCAAAGTGTTTAAGGTCATGAAAAACAGAGATCCAATTTCATGGAATGCTGTTTTATCTGGAATCCAAGATGGAGAGTTTTGCAACCAAGGGCCTAGAATATTTAAGCAGATGTTCATGGAAGGTTTCAAGCCAAATATGTGCACTTTTGTTAGCATTCTAAGGTATTGCTCCAACCTATCCAATGTAGATTTTGGACAGCAAGTCCACACCCATATTACTAAGACTAGCCTTGGTGATGATAGTGTTGTGGGAACAGCTCTTGTCCACATGTATGCTAAATGTCAGTCCTTGGAGAATGCATGTCTAGTCTTTCATAGGATGAAGAAGAGAGATCTTTTATCTTGGACAACTATCATTTCTGGGTATGCACAGACTGATGAAGGGGAGAAAGCTATCAAGTTCTTCTGCCAGATGCAAAGAGAAGGTGTGTGCCCAAACGAATTTACTCTTGCCAGCTGTTTGAAAGGTTGTTCCAGCATAGCAGCTCTAGTAAATGGGCAGCAGCTTCATTCCTGGGCCATTAGGGCTGGCCACTTAGATGATATGTTTGTTTCTAGTGCACTGATTGATATGTATGGTAAATGTGGTTCTATAGAAGATGCAGAAGCTTTGTTTGGAGACTTGGTTTCACGAGACATAGTTTCCTGGAACACAATCATTTGTGGATATGCACAACATGGATATGGAGAAAAGGCTCTCAAGGCCTTTCATTGCATGCTAGATGAAGGTTTCAGCCCTGATAAAGTTACATTTATAGGTGTTCTCTCTGCATGTAGCCATGTTGGTTTAATAGAGGAAGGCAAACAGTATTTTGACTCTTTAAACGGAGTTTACAGGATTACTCCAACAATTGAGCATCATGCTTGCATGGTGGATATCCTTGGACGAGCAGGAAATTTTGACAAGATTCAAAATTTTATTCAGGAAATGGCTCTTTCCCATGATATCTTGATATGGCAAACAGTTCTTGGGGCTTGTAGAATGCATGGAAATGTAAAATTTGCAGAAAGAGCAGCAGAGAAACTTTTTGAGCTTGAACCCAAAGAGGATTCTACTTATATATTGTTATCAAACATTTATGCTGCCAAGGGAAGGTGGGATGATGTTGCTAAGGTTAGGGCATTGATGTCCAGTCAAGGTGTAAAAAAGCAACCTGGGTGTAGCTGGGTAGAGGTCGATGGTCAAGTTCATGTGTTTCTATCTAAAGATGGTTCACATCTAAAGTTCAAAGAGATCTGTCTAAAGTTGGAGGAACTATATCAGGAATTGACTTTAGCAGGATATATTCCAAACACAGAAAATGTACTTCAGAATGTTCCTGAGACGGAGAAAAAGGAAAACCTCCTTTATCATAGTGAAAGGTTGGCCCTGGCTTTTGCCCTTGTAACTAAGAGACCTGGCGAGCCTATCCGCATTTTCAAGAGCATCCGAATTTGTGGAGATTGTCATAATTTTATCAAGCTCATATCAGGCATCACAAATAGAGGAGTTGTTATTCGCGATAGCAGTCGCTTCCACCATTTCCAAAATGGTTCTTGCTCTTGTCAGGATTATTGGTGATTCCACTGCTGAGGTCTTAATGTAACACAAATGCCACCTATAACTAGGGGTGCAAGTTGGGTACCTGAAATGAAAAATTACACAGCATCTCAACCCAAGCCTACCCAAGTTGCAGCCCTACCTATAACAGTTGACTGTCACTCTCTAACAACGGTTATCTTCATCCTGAAACAGGTACTCTCTCTCTCTCTCACACACACACACACACACATGCAAACAATGACTCATTCTTCCACCATTTCTCATATTTATCTGCCAATACATATAATACATACCTCACCATAGAGAAGGAAAGGATATCTATGTACATGTTTGTGTGTAGAATGTATGCGACAATTTCACTATTTCAGTACCTACTTCTTTTGCTTCTTATATTTTCTTTCTAAGTTCAAAATTTTTATGGCAACGACAATGTCAGTCTTGACATGGTGGACTTGGATGATGTGCATGCTTAAAGGAAAATGTAAAAATTCTCTGTTGCATTGAAAAAGAAAACAAGTAAAATTTCATGTTTATGCATGCGTCTGTGTGACTGTACATGCTTTACCTTATTTTTTTTGTTTATTTTCCATGAACACCAAAAGAAGCAAGAAGTACTGGGAGTGGGGTGTGGGGGAAGAAGGGACTTGGTGGAGAAGAAGAAAAGGAAGAACAGGTGATTGTTTGACTTGCCTATTAATATCCCCTTAACTTGCTATAACCTGGATTACAAGCTGGGACACCTACAATAACTTGGAATGAGTGAATACAACCCCTTATATGGTGGTAGGTGAATTTCCCTTTCAGGGCAAAACCCTTATTTTGCAAGCAAGAAGTGTATACACAGAGCATCTGGTGGAATATCCCTCTGTGATATCCTATTTCTAGCCTTTTCCAAGTGGGGTACAAGAGTGGGCACTAGTGCTCTACAAAACTTGTAGGACGAACCATGTACAATCAGTTGTACAATGCGAACTGTACAAGCGGTTAAGAAAGAGGAGCAGAAAATAGCCTGGTCTGGCTCTATTGTAGAGAAATGAATGCTGAAGGAAACAACCAGGGCCAAAATAAACTGAAACTAAACTTCGATGGGAATTCCTTTGGAAACCCAGGAAGAGCAGGAGTAGGGGGAGTCTTTCGAGACCATAACTGAGTAGTGCTGGCCTTGTTCTCAGGACCAATCGGGTTTGTAGACTCGATTCAAGCTGAATCAGAGGCTCTATGGCAAGGACTGAAGCTTGCAAAACAGTTAGGGGCAAGAGAGCTGGAAATTGAAGGAGACTCGCTTCTGATTATAACATGGGCAAAGCAAATTGAGTCAGTACCTTGGAAGCTAAGATTAACTTTTAGACAGATCGGCAAACTTGCAAAGAGATTTAAGTTTTAACTCTACTTTTCGATTGGGTTAAAAGGGAAGCTAATGGGTTGGTGGATGTGTTAGCCAAGCAGGGAGCTAATAGACCATCCTAATTTTGGGCAGTATTGTAAACTACTTTGCTATAGAAAGTATTGTATCTTAATTTCAGATTTAAATCAATAAATGATTTTCTTTGCTGATCAAAAAAGGAAAAAAAGAATGCTAAATGTACAATCAGTAAAGAAAGAATCTAACTCTAACTGAGGCATGGGGAAAAAACTAGAAACAAATACCAAGATGACCATGCAAAACTATTTTAGTAAATCATGTCTTCCTATTGAAGTTACAGAAACTTGCTGAAGCATGGTTTTCCTGGAATTTCTGCTTAGGCATTGGAGGAAGAAAGAAAATGCTTTTTTTTTTTTTAAAATTTTTTAGCAACTTGGTTGCCAGATAACACCTTGAGTCCATATTTCAATCATCATACCAACAAGTCCCTGAATCTCAAAAAAAAAAAAAAAGTCCTTCCATCTCAAGCTGGTGTTAGTGGAATAATTCTAATCAGGGAATATTGCTCAACTGCCACTGCAATTTTGTTCTCAATGGCTAATGGTTTACTCCACTGCTTGCCAATCTTTTGTAGTACTTATTTCCTTGTAATACCTAGTTATCATTTGAATTCCAAATTTTCTCTCAGTATCTTGTTCTCAACTTGTAGATTATGAGAGATGGGGAGAACATAGAAATCTAGAGATAAGGAAAGGGAAACAGAGCAGTGTAGGGAAAAACTGCTTCAAACTAGTCAAGTGAGTATGTTGTGCTGCTATACTCTACTTTCTTAATATACTGTAAGATTCTCTTTAGCTACTGCCAGTATTTACTAGACTGTGTTTTTGGTTTGGCTTACTATTCGTGGTTTATATTGTATTCTGGATTTAAATTGATATTGTATTGTCTCCAGGAGCATACAAGTATCAACTTGGTACCATTATTTTGAGAAGTTTCTTGGGGTCATTCACCATTAGAAATAAATCCATAATATGCCGGTTGATGATGTGAAATACTGCATGAATAATTATACTTCCCAAAATTACAATCCTTAAATTAATAGAAGAAAAATAAGAAAGTGAAAGAAAGGTGACAGACAATTCTTTGAGAAAATAGTTGAAGGATTCATAGGAAATTGAGTAGGTGGTTTAGTTGGTAATTGGGTTTTCAACTATGCCATTGATAAACCTTCCTGTCTGAAGAAAAGAAAAAAGTATTGTCAAATAACACTTAGATTGAAGAGCATATAGGGAGAAAAGATTAAATAAAAAGAGTACCATATATCAACGAAAGATAAAGTAAAACTTGGAGCCATGTGTTATACTGTAGCCATTCAGAAGAACTTATAGTTATCTAGTCAAATGTATATATGATATTATATATAATAAGTCTTTTTTTTTGGTAGAATTCCTATTGCTCCTTGATTTTGTCTAATTCCCTCGGTTTGTTTTGAATCCTGATTGTCTAGTGGTGGCTGGGAAGAGTAAAGAGGATGTTCAAAAGCAACAGAGATGAGAATGCTAGAAGCGTTTTATCCTGGTCCTTATTGCCATTCCTCCAGCATGCAATTTCTTTCTTACCTTCAAAGTGCAAATTGTGAGAATGGTTAGTATTATTCAATTAGCGTGATTATTATTATTATTTTTCAATTAGCGTGATTATTATTATTATTTTTTTTTGAAAAAGGGCTCATGATTAGCAAGTCCAGATCATTTGGCATGTATACTTTTCAAACAAATTCTTTGCATAGATGTGAATTCTGTATTACATGAGAATATAGGAATTTTTCAATGAGTCTGCAGAAATATATGTTTTACGATCAGTAGTATTTCAGCTCTTGTAACTGCATTCTGCAGGATTATATACCATGCATCCATCAACTCAAGCAATGATGCTTTGTCGAATGGAAACTATGCTGCCAAGGTAAGAACCACTAGTGCTACTTTTTATTTTGAGTCTTTTGACAAATAAGGTAAAATTGTATTTAAGTATCAAATAATGGTGAACCTAAGTTACAGAATATCTCCTGGGTCTAGGACCTCAGAATCTATCAGTGCAGTCTGACACCCTTGTGTGGTTGGCTAAGTTTAGCCATCTGATTTATGCATGAACTCCAGTGCTTCAGAAGAGTTTTAATAGAAATTTTCTCAAAAATCCAAATACATAAGAAAAAAAAAACATAGTATTTTTTGAAAGGCAAAGTAAAGATTTTATTGATAGAAGAAAACCATAGTACAACAGGCTCCTGGTAGAAAAAAACAGTCTACCTAGGAGGAAAACAGGTTATTACTCCACACCAAATTATATCTTTAACTGAACAAGGCATAACCCAACATAAACCCACCACTTTGAGGAAATACTCCCAGATTTTGGATGAGATTGTGCAATGAATACAGGTGATCAACTGATTCCAGAGACTGCCCACATAGACCACAGTTCAGGTCTGGAAGTTGCATGGCTCTTCTGGCTAGTTTGTCTTTAGTCAAACATTTATCCAGCACCAACACCCAACCCAAGAAGTTAGATTTAGAGGGGCTGATGGGGCTCCAAATCTGAAGAGTGACCACTGCTACCACTTAACCTATTTGCCAGAGATTTAACAGAGAATATGCCATCCCCACTCCATTTCCACCTCCAGTTATTCCTCTTGGTTAACATTCACAGCCTGGTCCTTTTTTTTTATCAGCAAATAAATTTCATTTATTAATCTGAAATAAGATTACAAGTGTTTTAGCTATTGAGCTGCCCAATTTACAAAGGGAATCAAGAACTTTCAAACACCTGATCATTAAGAAGCTGAAGCAATTCCAGCATCTTATCCAACTTCTAGTCATGGAAATTCCTCCTAAGTTCTAAACTGTGGTCCCCAGGTTCAAAATATTGATACGCCGCCAATAGAGCATATCATGCAGTATTGATAGATTTTTTTTTTTTTTTTTTCTAAATCCAGTTTAAGGTCCATCAACCCCCTGAACCGGTTGAAATCCTGAAACACCCCCTGGAGGGGCGTATTGGGAAGCCCCCGATACGATACGTATCGAAATTTTGAACCTTGGGTAATATTATTTCCCACAATCTCAAAACTGTCAGCTACCATGGCTTCCTGGTTATCATCACACTGGTTATCATCAGCGCACCAAGGGTCTTTCCAAAAACTAAGCCTTTCTCCTCTGCCCACTTTGAAGCCCAAACCCCCAGAGAAAGAAGGAAGAATCTTCATGATCCCCTTCCAGATGGAGCAGCCCCAAGAAGGTAAGGAATCAGAAGGGAACCGGCCACCTCTATCAACTCCATGTTTTGAAGCAATCAGATTCCTCCACCAGGAATTTCTTTCTGTTCCAAATCTCCAGATCCATTTTCCTGCATAAAGCATTATTGAACACCTTAGTTTTCCTCACCCTCAAGCAACCTTTCTCAACAGGAGAGCACACCTGATTCCACCTGGCAAGCCAACACACCAGCCAAATCCTCCACATCCTCTGCCTGCCCAACTGGGATAACCAAACTTTTGCCCAGGTTGACTTTAAAACCGGATACCACCTCAAATCAACACAGAATGGCCAATATCACTTCCAACTGATCATGAGAAGCATCAGTAAAACACAAAGTATCCTCAGCAAACTGAAAAATTTGGACTTTTTAACCACCTGGAGAAATTTCGAACCCTTCCCACTGTCCAACATTTCCGGCCAGCTTGTTGAATTGGGAGAGACTTCCACAAGACAAATGAATAAAAGGGGGGGGGGGGGGAGAGGGGGAGAGGGAATCTCGGATCTCCCTATCTAATACCTCTCGAGCTCTTAAAGAAGCTGGCTGATTGCCCATTAACAAGCACAGAGAACTTAGAAGAAGTGCAAACCTTGATCCGGTTCCTCCATTTTTGCCCCAAAATAATCTTTTCCAGCACAAAATAACTTAGAAGAAGTGCAAACCTTGATTCAGTTCCTCCATTTTTTGCTCAAAATCCATATTTTCTAGCACAAAATCGAGGTATCTCTAGTTCACATGATCCTAAGCTCTCTCAATGTCCAGTTTGCAAATCAAACCAGGTTTTCTTTCCCTTCTAGAGTCAATTAGTCCATTAGCCACCAAGGCATTATCCAGCATCTTCTGGCCTAGTATAAAAGCACACTACTCAAAATCACACCATTCAGCACTCCGTTCATTCTTTCAGCAAGAACTTTATGTTGATAATATTATGAAAGACATTCATTACATCTTGATGGATAACATCCCAACATTTTAAATAGAAAAGGTTTGTCAGTCCATCAGGCCCTGACAATTTGTCACTATCCAACTTGTTAATTACCGCCATTCTTCCTCAGTAAAAGGTCTTTCTAAGAAGATTTTCTACTCCTCACTAAGATGCTTAAAGGAATATCAGAGGGGAGAGGCCTTCTAGGCCATGATTCCTTGTACAAATTTCTGTAGAAGGTAGTTGCAATAGCTTTAAGTTCAGGAAAGTTTTCCTCTACCACACCATCATGTTCTAATTTGTGGATTGTGTTGACCCTGTTCCAGGCATTTTCCATTCTGTGTTCCTATCTCCCACTTTCAACCAATTAGCTTTTGCCCTGTGCCTCCATTTGAGCTCATCTCTATAATCCAGACTATCAAAAGTGGCCTTTGCCTGAGTTCTTTTCACTCTTTCTTCTTCTGAAATAGGCCTTTGCTCTTCAGCTCTGTCTATTTCCTTGGACATATTTTTTTTTCTCAGTTTCAGATCTAAGCCTATTTTCCAAGTTCTTCAAAACTTCTTTAACTGTTCTCAACTTTTTTGCAAGTATGAAAGAGCCTGTGCCTTCAGCCCTTCAGCCTCCACACCTGCCCAAATATCAGCTATAAGGGAAAGGAAGTCATCCTCTTCAAACCATGCATTCTCAAGCTTGAAAGGAGTCTTGCCTCTCTCTTGCCCACTGCAGACAAGCTGGAGAGGAATGTGGTCAGACACCGGCCTTGGGAGAGCCAGCTGCCTAGATACAGGAAACAGTTCATCCCAACTTGTTGAAATTAAACAATGGAGACGTTGTGGTCATTGCCCAAATATTGGTCTCATTCCTTTAAACAATGGAGATGTGGTGTTCATTACCCAAATAACATTTTACCAGTCTTGTGGCCCTTTGCTGGCACTGAAAGACTAGTAGAAATACAAAAATTACTCTTCGAATGTGTATTGGTCAGTCCCAACTCCATACAATATCATAGTAAATAACACACTTGAAGTCTTTCTATTGATGTGTAATAATGTATAATAATTATTATTCTCCACTTTCTCATATTTATATATTCTATCAGCATCCTTGAGTTCCATTTCTTTCTAACTGGCAAAGCAACTGCAAAAGTCAATACCTGCATACAATTTATCTCATATTTTTCTTCAAGAAGGCATTGCTTCCAAATGGACACCATATTGAATATTTTTCTTCTTATTGTTGAGAACATGCCAGAAGCATATATGAAACACATACACAAAAAGAAGATTGCATTTATAGTCACCATGGATTTCCAAATGAAAGAACAAGTGAAGACTGAATCCTTTCCCACATGGGGCATCACAGAAGAACTTGACTGAAAAAGCCTTTACCCTGTAGCAATAGCCCTCTATCATCTTCTTATGTGGCTGGGACCTGTGATCGTCCCAATAAATATCATTAAATCCATTTCCCAATCTGGGACACTTGCACAACATTCACCTGGATAAGACCCTATGGCATTCATCAAGTAATGCTCACTTGTTTGTTACAGTCTTTAGACAAGGAAAGTCTCAAAATAATGCCTTAAAAGTTATTAGTACGTGACCCTCACTGTTATAATTTTGATTAATATTGTTATTTGCTCTGAGTTGATTTTGTTGTCCTGTGTACTGTTGCAGAAAATACCAAATGCTGTTGTTACAGCTTTCTCATGATGACCTTCTTGCCAAGTGACAAACTCCTTGTTCAAGCGGTATGTATGTAAGGTATCAGAAGTAGCAAATCAATAATTATTTCTTTATTTTCTCAACCTAGATTTTTAATCTCTCTGCTTTGCCATGCTTGCAGGTTGCATGGACAAGGAATGGAGAAACAATTTCCAGAGTAGTGGATTGATTATCAAGCTAGCAACTGATCAATCATTAGAGAAAAGTATTTATTTCAATGTGCAGTATAGCTTTGCAAGTTTTATGCATAATGTACCCAGCTCTAGGAAATAAATATGGTTCTGGATAGCAGAAATTCTTCATACCGTACCAAGCCTGTCTATCAAACCTGGAGATAAACCAACAATTTCTGACTGACAGAGTGACAGATACTTTGGCATCTTCAAAGAATGGTAGATGCCTCTATTCGTGTCTCTCATCATTATAAGGCCTAGTTTGTTTGAAATGCAATTTCATTTGCACTGGGGCAAAAGCATGGGAATGCAAATTCTGATTTATTTTTGTTTCAAATTTTACTTTCTTTTGTTTATTGTTAATGCCAATGAAGTAAAATTAACCTAAAGCAAAGTAAAACCAGCAGCAAAAGTGAACCAGAGAACTTATACTCTTTTGGTTTGCACTCCTATGAATTGTAGTAGTGCAAATGAAATTGGATTGCAAACAAACAGGAGATTTTTGCATATTGTTCTGAGAATGTTCAATTGTTGAGACAAAAAGAAATATATACACCTAGGTCTCTCACAATGGAAATATACTCTGATATTGGGTGATGATATTAGCTTCTTATTGGTTACTGGCCCTGTGGGATTTTTCGAACTTGGAAGCATAATAAGACTTCATTTAATACAAGCCAATAAAAATAACAGTTCATTTAACAAAAAAAATGAGCTTTGCCATTCCTTTACTTCGAAAGCCAATTATACTGATTGGATACAGGTTAGATGAACAACATCAAATGAGTGTTTTCATAATAATTTGTGAAGCTCAAAAATAAGTATATTTTTCTACCAGGAAAAAAAACATCTTTTGTAGCACTACCCAATGGGCCAATACTGGTTCAGGCTATCCAGGATCTTGGGAGAGGTGGACTGGAATATGGGATCTAGCTTCCGGCATTTTTAGCATTTAGTGCACTGGATGTATTTTGTCCAATAAAAAAAAAAGTGGATATGCGACTTATGCCCTGCTACATGAATGGTCCTTGCTTTCTGTGTGTGGTTTTAATTGTAATGTGTGGATGCAGGGTAAGCAATGATGATGAGATACCTGAGCTCGTGCCAGAGACAGAATGCACCCCTGCTGGCCATACTTTAAAAGCAGAATTGTAATTCCTATTACTGATCAGAAAGTTCCATGCCTTCTATGTGGCAACAGTTTACAGTTGTAGTTTTGGTATCCTCTTTGCTAGATGGAAATGGATATCATCTTGTGGAGAGACAACCTGGACTGGAGTGATTATCCGTTCCTTTCCACTGGCACCAAAGAAATAGAGCAAATGGTTCAAAATGCCAGAGGATAACTTATTGGAGAAATGGGAGGAGACCAAAGGGCAGATTGATGGATAATCAATAACATCCTTAAAAGGGGTTACCCATATTTGAGAGAAATCCCTTCCTTTTCCCCCACTGCTTTCATGTTTGTTTTGTTTGTATTCTCTGTTGTTCATTTCTATCAGCTTGGTATTTCTCATGTTATGGTAATGATATTTAAATCTATTAATTAATGTTGATATTTAGATGTGTTCATCACATTTCACCTCTCCCCGAGAAGAAGAAAATAGGGTTGCTGGACGTCGGGATGGGCACCTTAACATGCAAAAGGATTTCTATAATTTTTCAGATTGTACATTGCACTGGGGAAATTTTGAATCCTCCCTAGAAAAGTTTTTTTCCAGAATTTCTTGTCAATCAAACGTAAACTTACTGAGCTCCATCGTTCTATTCGTACTGATATGTGAGGGGTTCCAAAACTTCAACTACTTCACCATCTTCCTTCATATGTAATTTTGCTTCCAAGCTCCAACGTTGCATGGGACCTGCTACCGCCATAACCAACGGCTTTATTGGTGGAAAGGAGAAATCATCTACAAACTACAAAGCCATGATGGCATGAATTTTGGGCGGAACCCTCATAGCTTTCCTGCGTAGGTGGAGTTACTGCTCTGCTGCCCCATCTTTCCTCGCAACCTTGCAATCAAATAACTGCGCATCTATGTTGTAATAAAGCATGGTTTTGAAAACCCGCCCGGACCAGATGGTCAGACCGGTTTGAAGAAACAAGGTTCTGGTGCTGTGGTGCATGAACCGAGTAGGGGCCCGTTTTGACAACGGCTAGCGGGCTAGGTGGAGCTTTTCCCATCGATCTTCTGATTCTGATTATACATGCAAGCACAAATTTGAAAAGCCCAAGACTGCACCAACTGGATTCTGATTCTTAATTGGATAATATATGCTCATGCAGTTGGTTCATGGCTGGGCCAGATGATTTTTTTATGCAGTTACCTAGGCCATGTTTGGTTCTAGCTTCATTTTTTTAATTCTTGCTCATTCTAGGTAAGAATGGACAAAAATGAATAACATTAGAGTGTTTGGTTACAAAATTCTTGCTATATGCCACATTCTTTTTAGAATGAAAAATCAGCCCCATAGCACAAAAATTCAGTAGCCTGTAGCATGAACAATCATGCCCCATCTTGCTCGTTTTCATTCTTTGAGAAAACCATGCCTACAAAACTGTTGTCATAGATGTTTACTTTTGCAAAAGCACTTTTACCAAAGCACATTCATGAAAACACTTTTATAAAAGCACTTTTGTAAAAAGTAAATTTATGAAAAGTACCTTTGCGAAAACACTTTTACAAAAGTTCTTTTACATTAAAGCACTTTTACAAAGTACTTTTATAAAAGTATTTTTCTGAAATTGCTTTAATAAAAACACTTTGTGAATGCACTTTTACAAATGAACTTTACTAAATCACTTTTATGAAAGTACTTTTATAAAAGCACTTTTATGAAAGTACTTTTATAGAAACACTTTTATGAAAGTACTTTTATAAAAGCACTTTTGTGAAAGTAATTTTATAAAAACACTTTTAGAAAACATCTATGCCAACTAATAAACATTGATTGTTGGAGACCTAGGCCGGCAGTCTATGAATACCGACAAATTTTTTTTTTCGAAGAATAAAAATGCGCAACATAGGACACTTGTTAGTATGAAAAGAATTCATTTTTTGAAAAAAAAGAATTCATTTTTTGAAAAAAAAAGCATTTAGTTCATGACAATTTTTTCTCATTCTGCCTATTTTTACCCATTCTTATCCATTTTAGAATTTCCTCTTGGATAAGAATGAGAAAGAATGAGAATTGAACCAAACATTGACCCTAGTGTACGCCTAGTAATTGCCACAGTGCCGGATGGTGTATGCTCAGTGATCCATGCAGTTACTTAGGTATGGATTCTTGACTTGTTTACTCGAACCCATGCTCGGGAAACTATTCGATT